TATATGTGTGTGTGTGTGTGTGTGTGTGTGTGTTATATATATATATATTAGTGTGTGTGTGTGTGTGTGTGTGTGTGTGTGTGTGTGTATATATATGTATATATATATATATATATATATTTGTATTTAGGAATCCAGTATGACTCTTTAAAGTTTGTTGGACAGAAGCGTGTAATACTTTAAGAACGAAAGGTAGATGAACATGTCATATATGGGCGGGGACTGATCATCATCTGGTCTCGCACGAATAACGAGTGAGTGAATTCATATTGGATAAGCAACCCTTTCACGACGAAATTCGATAGTAATATGTCCCTCTGGATTAGGGTCTGACCCAAATTTACGATTTGCGCTACGACGAACCTAATTTTCGCTCAAAACTAAATCCAGAGGGCCATGTCGTAATAAATAAACCTATTCTCTTATTTGTCTATTTCAGATTCTGGCGATTCTGTCCAATACTTCGAAGCAAAAGCATGAGATTTGGGTACGTTTGCTCGGGAAGGGGAATTTTTTTGTTGCTGTCTGTTGGTTCAAGCTGGGTCGTCGAAATAGGAAGTGTGCGTGTGTAGGTATGAAGAACGCTTTCACGTATACACAGATTTGGGTGGAAGTTGGCAAGGTGAAAGTAGGTAAGTCTATTTGCGTGTGTAGATATCAAGAACTCTTGCCTGATTTGGGTGAAAGTAGGTACGTTCGCATCCTTCCCACATATCAAACTGAGTGTGTTCTGTTTGCCTTTAAGATCGAATGCTCTCCTGTCTGGTAGTCTGGGAGGGTTGTACCTTCAAACTTAATATAAACACACATATGGAAATTACAAAGAAAGAAAAAACAAGTGAACATATACACGTCACCAGGTTTATACCGCCACTGGAAGTATATATGTATACAGCCACCGGAAGTATATATGTATATAGCCACCGGAAGTATATATGCCTGTATATTGATCTACGCACATGAATACGAGTACACATTGTATATTTATTTGAAGTTTCTGGCAGTGTATCGACATGTAACAACCCATTGCGAACGTATTCTCGATTATGTTTCAGTGTGTCTACTGGTTCCCTAATTTCCTAATGTTCTTTCTGGAGAGACTTGCTTGCATATAGCAGTTGTGGCACCAATACCTGTCTCGTTGTAAGGCACAGAAACTTCCCTCTTTTGACTAACAATGATACGAACACCAGCCATACACTCTCGGTTCGTTTTTAATCTGCACCTGCCCTGTAGCCTAAATTAAGGACGCTTGGGTTTGACCCGAAGGGCTTTGCGGATGGGTTTACCAGTGGCGAAGGGGCCTGGAATGAAATTAAACGCACAAGAGCAGGCCAGAAGTAGGTGCTGTTCTTGTTGGATAAGTGCGAAGGAATATGTTCGCGCTGACAGTTTCGAATGTGACGCAGG